TTTGTTTTATGAAGTAATTTATACCTTTGACTTAAGAAGGGGGTAACATGTTTAAATAAAGCTCATCCCAAAGCCTGTTGGCAACATAGCAAAAACATTATGGCCATTCAACAAAAATTCTATGCACTGTTTTTGTTCTTTTTTCACAGAAAAGCCAAAATTAAATGAATGGCATATTTCTTCAATTGTTTTCCATATTCCTCATCTGCTTGTTCTATTTTAAGATTTGTTAAGAAATCACATGAGTTTGGCCAGAGTTACCTTCCATATGGCCAGAAGGTAAATCGATTTTGATTGGCTGAATATTTTATGAATGGAGACCATTAAAAAATGCAAGTGGAGTGAAGCCAACCACAACAAATACGGTGATAGGGGCTACATGTATCATTGGGTTGTAAAATCATCAATACCTAGGCAGAGATGAAGAATAATCAATAAACAATCGATCGGTTTATAACATTGACACGCCGAAAAAAACCAGAAATTCCATTGCATACAAATTGTATGTTTTCTACTACTTTTTGATAGTAGCACTTTCTGTCTCCGTGTGAAAAAATAATAATAAAAAAAAAAATCCAAATGATAAATAGGAAATATGAAATGTCAAAAATAAACACGAATAGACAGATTATTCGGTCTAATCTCAATTTATCTTTATTTCTAGCTACTGTCAAAGGATTTTCTACTTTTGGTATCAGATCTGCTTTTGACACGCAACCTAAACTTATTAATGTGTCTATCTCACTCTGTACACATGCAGGATTATCTAATGCTGATCTGTTGTTTTTTAGTGTACAATTGCTTGGTACAGTGTGAAATGGTAGTTTATATCCATTCTTGATAACATCTAAAACTTGTTCAGTAGCACCTGATTTCGCCCAATGATTAAAAGCCCCTTTAAGCATGCCTATTGGCGATCTATTTATCTACTTGTTTACCTTTCGATATGTTGTTTTCGTTATGAAAACTAGACGTGTTTATAAAATCATACGTTATGTTTTCAGAATCGGAAATACCGAATTCTTCAAAATCTTGATAATCTGATAAATAGTCAAAGTCAATACTTATCTTATCAAAGTTCTGCTTCATTGACATTGCAGCATGATTTTTACGCCAATGACCTTGTTTTCCACATTCGTAGCATTTTCCTGGTCCGTGTACAGGTAAAGATATCTGAACATGTATTGGTGCACACGATCTGGTTGAAGTGGGGTGCGAAATAAGGTTAAATCTACTCTTCTTTGTTTGTCTCTCCGCCTTAATTTTCTGTGCAGCTCTAACTTCAGCTCTGCGTATTCTTTTCTCGTCTTCTGAATTATCAGCTAGACTATTCGTCTGGTATTCCTCTACCGTCCTCCCCCCACTTTCTGACTGATCAGCCATCTTCACAAGTTTTTGCCTGTGTCTTAGTAAATAAATACCTTCACTAATTCTTTGAGTTGCTGATTTTATCTGTTCGTTCTGCATCGGGCTGTCCTGTAGGTTAAATTGGGCTTCTTTAATCTTTTTGATGATCTTGGTGTTAATTCTATGTTTTACGGCCACGGCTAGAATGAAGACCTTAATACAAGACAATACATTTGGCGCCAACCCATAAAAAACCTTGACAATTGGTCATTCAAAAACACGTGACTACGCTTAGTCTTGATGAACCGTGCAATACAATATTTTTCTGCCAAACTACGAAACGAAGAAAAAGATACTTATATAATCTATTACTCTTCAGCATCAGTGCCGTAACCACCAACGTACTTTGGTGAAGCTATCAACAAGACAGGGTTACAATGTCACCATCGCACTTCAGTGTGATGAAAAACACACTTTAGCCTCAAACCATCGTTCTTCCATGGACAATCGTAGTTCGGAGTAACATTGCGGTACATAGTCCTACATATTTATATTTACAGTTTTATCTCAGCGTTAATTTTTATTTAAAACAGACGTGAACATTGAAGGCCAAGTGTTACAGGAATATATACATGTTCGATATTTTATCGAAGTATCGTTAGCTCTGTAAAGGATCTTTTATTGTTTACAAATACAATTTTCCAATCTCTTAAAGTCAAGAATGTATTAAAAAACAAAGGGACACAAGTTTTCAATATTCAATTTCTTTGGTACTGATTGACTTATTTACATACTTATAATCTTGATATATAAATATGTAAATGATGTTGACTTTTACGCTTTTAGACTATTATTGTGGTTTCAATTTTCTTTTCGATTTAAATAACTCACAATGAACTTCATCATTTTTTTTTCATTGAGAATGGTATAGAATGTTACTTTAACTGTGTACCTTTCCAAATTGTTTTTCATTTGATGTCGACCAAGCTTTTTCGGAAAATATTAAAGCTGTTCCCGAGAATCATTGAATATTCAAATCTAAGATTTGAAAAATTTGATTGAAAATTCACGGGGTGAAGGATTTTGTCATTTCCTGACATGTTTGAAGCGGCGGTATAGGTCATCAATCTCTGGCAATACGGTGTAAATGAAACAAGGTTAATTTCAACAGACTATCATTCCATTGAATGTTTGATTAGTTATCAAAAGGGATTTAAAAAAAGAATACTGTTCAAGATGTTAAAACAATGTGTTTTTTTTTAAAGTCCCCATTCTGAAATTCAAAAGAAAATTAATTTTAATTTTAAACGGTTATTTTGTTCTTTCTAAAAAGCAATGCGACAGAAATTGTTATTAATACAGAAAGGCTTCTGAGCTGTTATAAATTTGATGTAAAACGACGACTGCAAAGAATGAATAATCTAAATAGGATTTTGAAATCAAATTATCAATTGACTGTTAAACTAATAAAGAAGCTTACCCAGGTTATATTTCGTGGCCGTTTTCATTTCAAATTCATGCCGCGAATCTTTAACTTAATGTCCCTAATTAAACCTGACAGGACCGTGTACATCAAACACAGTAACAATGATGTCAATCATAAGGTTTTGTGGTACATGTATCTGAGTTTAAAAAAAAACCGTCTAATTATTATTATTTAAAAAAATTTAAATTTTCTTCCGTTTGATCCAACCTTTTTTTTCAAACCCCCCACCCATCCATCCCCCCACAAAAAAAAACACCAAACAATAACATAATGAAAACATATCTGAAAAGATAAAAAAAGAAATATATTCAAGTCTTCATTTAACCAGATTATAATTATTACAAAGTAAAAAGACAAGTCCGTTATCCTAAATCAGTTTCATTGCCTCGATTTGTAACAGTTGTTTAACATTTTTTTATTTAAATTCGATTAGAAAAAAAAATGAATTAATAATATGCCATTTTTATAGCTCCATAGCATTTTGCATCAATAACATATTACCGAAATGTGTAATGTAGAAAATTGTTTATAATAGTTTAAGCCGAAGGAAACTTTATCTTGTAATATTATTTTCCTTCTGGTGGTTTGTTTTAAAGTTGACAATAAAATCGTTGGTATAAAAGTATCCAAGTAGATTCAGCAAATCATTCTATAAAATATTCAATCTGTAGACAACATGTCCCGGTTCCTGTTTTCAACGGTCATAATTGTACTTGTATCTCAGGTATGTAGATGTTTTTGTATTGTTCTTGTCAAGATTGTTTGATTCTCATATTTACTGCTTGTCTGACTATTTTGATACCTTCAGATATGATTTTCGTTATTTCAAGAATTGGGTAAGGACGTTATATCTTAGATATTTGTTATTACTTAATTGACAACTTTCATAAACTCAGATACGATTTAAGGATGTTCGCTCCTCTGTTTAGAAAATAACAATCTTTACAAAAGACTGTTATACATTTATTGTATATAAATATTAGAACTAAACAAATAGAAAAAATGACAGGATCGTGTCCTTATTACTGAGATAGAACTAATTGAAAATTTGGCGAAAAATTATTCTATCTAGATTTTTCTAGATACATTAAACATCGGCACCTTTTTCCTTTCAAAATTTAAGAAAAAATAACAAGGATTTCATGAGATTTTAAAAAATAAATGTTTTAATTATATGTAATAAAAGTATATAAAGAAAAGTAGGGATTAGTGGGCAAAATTGTGATTTGCACTACATACAGTCATACAGATAACACTAAAGGATTCCGAATATCTGACAAAAAGTCAAAAACAGATGGCGAACATCCTTTAAATCTTGAAATATTGTGTGGACACTTGTCTTTTATCGAAGACTCTATGATGCATTCTTGACGTACTTTGGGTATTTTTGTCGTGATGGTGTCAATTCATTGCCGATTACCCATATTTCTTTTTATCAATATTGCCATTTACATGAAATTTAACTTAACAGTTTGCCCAAGAAACCCAAAATATCACAATGTTTTAGAAAAAAAGTACCTTTAAAAAAAAAACTTCGAACAAATATATCTTTTGAATATCGTTTTCGCCATATTTAAAGATTATCATTTTTAATTGATATAATTTGCACAATGAATACATCTATCATTGTCTATCGTTGCGTCGTGATTAGCTAATATCCCAGAGAAAGTGTACTTGTCCTCAGTTTTATGATTTGTATTCATTAACAAACAACTCATTTCTTTAAAGCTTTCTAGTTGGCGTCCAACAAAGCATATCGAATACAAGTGTCATCATCATTTATATATCGTCTTAAATAACCAATCACACATACTAATAGTCACAATCATTTGTTCATACAAAATGCTGAAATGGAATCATCCGGCAAAATAAAGCTGATTTGTTTTTGTTTATGTTTTTGTGTTTAATTTAAAGGCTTTCAAAATAAAAATGTCTTGAAAATTAAGCTCCCATTGGACTTCTTAAACTGATCTGATGTCTTTGTTACTGATTCGAGACTCAAAGTTAATCGTAAGACATATCTATTTTTGCTTTGCCTAGAATAATTTTTTGTATAAACAATTGTGCAAAGATATATCTGTCAATCTTAAAGAAGAAGCTTTAATTTTTAAACATTATTGAACTCTTGTATATTAAAGCAAAACATAATATACAGTATGTATTTAAAATTTCAGGTGTTTGGAAGAAGCTTACTGGATGCAAGGTATGAACATTCATTAGTATTTCATAAATCATATTGTATATACCTTATAAAGTAGACTGTAAAAGGTGTGTGTGTTTGTGTGTGTGTGTGTGTGTGTGAGAGTTATAGATTCTAGGTGCCGTAAGTTGTGTATCTTTTTATTTACTTTACAGTTTTCTTTTATTTGTGTTCTTGCTAAAATTTTGCTCTTATTCGTATGACATTTGACGTGACGCGGTTGTTTACATCCTGCTATCGGTTTGTCGAATTTGGACGTTCCTGGAGCAGGTGGGTCCTGAGCTTCGATTCTGACTCAAGAGGTTCTTACATTGTTGTTTCCATTATGTTTACCCTTGAATGTGATTATTTTACTTAATTTTTACTATATGATATGTACTAGCAACTACAAAAACTTTCTCACCGGCGCCTTGTCCTTATACTATCAACTACAAAAACTGTTTTAATTAACAACTGTGTCAAATGTAAATCAACATTTTTGTTGGTGTTTTTGTTAGAATTATTTGTTTTTTTTGTTTAAATGTTTCAGTCAGTTTTTTGTATAACTGTTGCGTATGTTTACACATGTTACACAATTTTGGCTGTTGGATCCCAATTGAAGTCACATTATTATGTATAATTTGTTTGCTCACCCAGTTGCTACAATATGACGGAATTATAAACATCTATCACTGAAGTGAGAGGTTTTGCTAGCTATTAAACCAGGTTTAACCCACAATTTTCTTAGGAACAAGTCAGGAGTACGACGATGTTTTTTTCGCTCCTTCCGTGGTTATTAGTGAGCGATTTTGTCAGTTTTTATGGACTTTCCCTTCTTCAAATTTTCTTTGGTGTTCTGATTTTTGTGTTATACTTTTTGTTGTTGGCTTTAATAACAGTCCAGCGTAAAACCTCTGTGGAAACATTTTAATAAGAAAATTGAATAGCAGTAGTCTGAAAATATATATTTAATGAAATCAGTTTAATAAATTTTGGTCAGAAACTTGATATAGGTTATTATTGTTTTATTTGTTATCCTTATGAAAGTGTTAAAAATTTGGAAAGTTTGACAGCTACTATACCCTACTTGACATCATACACAGCATATTTAATTTTGATGGCAATAATTGTTCCTATTAGTATAGGATATATTGGTAATACGTCAATGAGACAGAAACCCAAACGATTCACGTAGCAGTAAAAACAATTTCATCAGAATTTCTCTGAATTCCATATAATGTTGATGTGTTTTTTTTTTCTTCCATTGTGAAGTTAATTTGATATAAAAATAAAAAATTGTTTAAATATGTATATACATAATCTATGCATAACTTGTAAATCATAAAGTCAGGGACTTTGTTACTACAAATTACTTAAAACGTTTATAACATTCTGTCATAAATACAACTCTAAAGATTTTGGTTTGGAACATTTTGCTTTACCTGTAAAATCCTTATTTCAAGGATATTTTACCTCTTATTTATTAACATTGAAACCGCAAATTAAGATACGATCTATGTAGACTTATAAATTCTTTGCATAAACTTATTATTAAAGGTTTTCAACTAAACATTTGAACATTGTTCTTATCTGTACTAAGATTGATTGTGGTTTAAATAAATCGAAATAAAACAAAATATGTAATGCTGTACAGTTATGAACACTACATGTAACTGTCGATACTTATATTTTGGCATTGTAAAGGGTCACGTTTTTTTTTTTTTTCTCAAACTGAGAACTAGTATGACTTCTTTTACCCTTAATCCGTTGGATGTGTCCTCAATTCATATTTGAGCATGGAAAAAAATGATTTATTTATTAGTTGAAATCGGTTTTGAAATACCAATTGGAGTTTATAGTCATGGTGCGTTTGAATACGTGATCAGCGATTATGACCATAAGAGACACAAAGCGATCAGCCACAATTTAACTACGGTGAACTTTGCATGAGAAAATTTGAGCCTTAGCTTCATAATAATTTCTTACCTTATCAACGGTAAATTAAGGAAAAGTATAATTCCTGCCAGTACCAAAGCTCTGACGACGGAGCTGATATAACCTTCGGGGACTAACAGTTTCACCAATAGCGGTTTTGACCCAGTGCCTGAAATTACTTTATAAGTTTGGTATGTCAGAAACGCGTTTATGGAGTTACCATGGTAATAAGTAAGGCACAAACCCAAACATTTGAAATGCAAGAAAATATAACTACCTGGATGTTTCATGAGCTTATGACTAAATTGGACATACAAAAACAGTTCATTTGTTCAATAACATATAGCTCAATAAGTCCAAATTGCAGATAGAAGTTACTAAAAAATGTGTGAAATTTTTAAATCAATAAAGACTTTACCATACAGTGAAAGGAAATCTCTGTTACAATTATAATCTGAATGGGGTAGACGTTTAGTTATCATAGTTTGTTTTTAATAAACTTGTTTGTCATGATATCATAACGATGTTGCGTGCGAAAAAAAAATTTATGACTTTCGATGTTATGAGCTTGTTCCTTTTAGTTGTTTGATTCATCTATATTTATACATTACTGGTTGGTTTGATGCGCATTTACTTTGTCCGCCCCCATAGTGTATAGAAGCGTTTAATTTTCATCGAGTCTATATGAAATGCCTTTGACTTTTTTTCAGGATAGAGAAGCGTAGTATAGGTAAGATATATATTTAAAAAAAAAACATAATTTTGAAGGAAGGATATACATCACTATTTCTATAAATACGAATAAGATAAGGGTAAAACTTTAAGTTATAAAATGAATGACAACATTAAAAAACAACAAATAGAAAAAATGGAATAAATTGAATAAATTGAATATTTAAATTAAAATTAAAAAAGGACAATTAAGGTCAGTGTGGATTCTTCAACAAATCTTGCCTAGCACATATTTCACATCTTACGTTGTCATCAGCTGAACAGCAAATATTTTAGACATGATGTGTTATGATTATTCTAGAGTAATGATCGGTTTATCAATTTTGCTATGAAACTATATATAAGCATCCTGTACATCTACCGATGACCTTTGCAACAAAAAGAAGTGATTCTGAAGCCATTCGTGCCAAGTGAGGAATTTTCACTGGAAGTCTCTGATAATATAGTTAAACGATCAAATTGAATTATCTTTATTCGGACGGCCTCCACGGAACACAGAGATGTCTAGAGTCCACAAACAAATTAATACAGATAACCAAAGACCCGAATCAACATCAAATTCCATCAATAACACAAATCATAAAACATATAATTGAAGGCCTCAGCTGACGAGGTTCTTTGTTTAGCACAGAAACATCAACATATGGAATGATTTAATCATTTTTTTCAAGATCTTAAACCTTCCGCTTTTTTCGATCATTATCGTATGTGCAATGTATGATATTTTACGAGTCTGTTTGAAATTCTATAGTACAAACGTGTACTATGGTTGCAGAAATTCCATTTTCTCAAGCTTTTACACACTGGTTGTGAAATTGCTTTCATTGTTTTACTGAGGGAATGGAAAAAAATTCCCAGTTATGAACACTTTAATTCTGATATAGAGTAAATATATACAAATAATACTGAATACACATACAAACCAATGCAGTTAAAAACTGAAATGTTCACAAATGTTCAAAACTAGCACATTATTATTAGTTTTGAATAAGCCATGTGTTATATAAACATGCCTACCAATTTAGAATTACAGATTATTGATCGCATAATATATAATGTTTTGCCTATTACCTTAAGTGATATATATTGTCAGGAGCGTGTTCGAAAAGCTTTAAGGGATGCCCATCCGGCCAGAAAATCCGTGACTGTATAGCGGAAGATTACATGCACAACCGTCGCATTTGTGTAACAATCCGTTGTTGCCAATAAAGCTACAAGTAATGTGATGTCATAAATGACTAACGTACAAACAAAAGCATCTCATATAACCGGTATAACTGTACTGTGCAATTTAACTTATGCGTGCATTTTATTTTATCTAACCGCCTAGCTAACTGTCATATCAAAATGCCTACCAATTTAGAAATACATATTATTGATCTCATAATATATAATGCTTTACTTTAGGGAAAACGGTACTATTTATTCTGCCATAGGCGACAATACTAACATTTTCTAAATTTACCACTTTTTATAATAAAAACCCCGATAAAACAGTTATGTGTGGTGTTAGTACTTTATTATTCTGTTTTGAAAATTGAAGCCAAATAGTATCATGACCAACTTCCAATGGAGCTTGTTAATGTTATCCATGCCCACCGTCATTTTACACCAAATTTATGAAATTTTTGAAGTCTTTTCGAATAATTCTCTAGAAAATATTTCAATAGGTTTCAAAATTTATATTGTAAATATACACACTGCAGTTATTCATAGATAAATAAAAAAATATATTGTACCCTAACATCCAATCACAGCGCTCCTAAGTTGACTTCCTTCACCTGCCTTGGGTACACAAAAGACCAACCTAATGCTGGGAAAATGTAATAGTACCGTTTTCCCTATACTGTGACATAAAGATATAAAGAATTCTTTTGACACCATTAATGCAATACTGGGTTATTGTGAAAACCTTGGCTATAATAAATACTTGTATGTTCCCATTACTTAAAGAAACATGAATCATTTAATGTCCCCACCCCTACATGCTGGTTTACCTCTTTCTCTACTTCTTTCAGATAAGGCTTAATAAACAACCTGTATCCAATCATATCTTATCTTATTTAAAAAGAATAATAAACAGTTCCATTTAAACAGATAAAAATAACAGTTCCATTCAATTTGTATTCATTTCATCTAAAATTTACAACATAAGCACAAACTCAAGATTTTTCATACTAATCTCCATTCCATGCTTTAGTATATGCCATACTGTGGTTCAAAATTGCAGAGCTTGTTATAAAATCCATTATTCTGTCTTGAGATGATGAGAACAAAGATATTAGACACTTTCAACATTAAATATGCAAAATACTCAGCTGTAAAGTTGCCTTTGTTGCCTGTATTAATCTATGAAAAAGCTGAATTATGTCCCTTTGGAGTATTAATTTCCAACAAAAGTCCTTTCAAACAGTAGAAAATGAAAAATTATATATGCCTGATATAATAAAAGATAGAAAATACAAAATGAAGCACTATTGAAATATTTGCTGCATGAATTGCCAAGAATATGACCAATTCTTTACACAGGAGAGTATAAATTCTATCTAAATTTAGCCTCAAGTGGGCCTCTTTTTTCCTTAAATGGACAATTTTAACACTGAAAATGCTTCTAGTATGACCAAATGTTGCCTTACTCCATAAACAGTACAAACTTAACCAGACAATTTCCCATTTGAATAGATTATGTCTACAGAAATACCCAAGTGATACATTTAGGGAATTACACAGCAAAAAAGGCAAATATTTCAGTTAAAAATATTTGTCGCGACTTGAATTCTGGTGTTTCCGATTGAATTAATCATTGCGAAAGGTGAAAACAAATACAAAAGAACTATAGTTTGGTGCATTTTATACAATATAGTTAATATTGAAATCCTAGAATAAAGTTTTATATCAGTACCCATCAATTTGACTTATTATGATGACTCAGCACTTCTCTCAACACAGTATTGTTCTCAGTGAAAAAATTCTATTCTTTGTGATAAAAATCAAATGTACTAACCAAAAGCTTCAAAATAGTTTACTTTAACTGAAGTCTGATTGATTTTGATTTCCCTTGCTATCTTCAGTATAGGGAAAACGGTACTATTTATTCTGCCATAGGCGACAATACTAACATTTTCTAAATTTACCACTTTTTATAATAAAAACCCCGATAAAACAGTTATGTGTGGTGTTAGTACTTTATTATTCTGTTTTGAAAATTGAAGCCAAATAGTATCATGACCAACTTCCAATGGAGCTTGTTAATGTTATCCATGCCCACCGTCATTTTACACCAAATTTATGAAATTTTTGAAGTCTTTTCGAATAATTCTCTAGAAAATATTTCAATAGGTTTCAAAATTTATATTGTAAATATACACACTGCAGTTATTCATAGATAAATAAAAAAATATATTGTACCCTAACATCCAATCACAGCGCTCCTAAGTTGACTTCCTTCACCTGCCTTGGGTACACAAAAGACCAACCTAATGCTGGGAAAATGTAATAGTACCGTTTTCCCTATAAGTAATATATACTTTCGGGATATTGTGGGAAATACTTTATTGGATGTCCTACCGGTCAGCACATCCGACATTGTACAGAAGATGATTTCAAGCACAACCGTGTGCATTGTGAATGCGTACCTATATCAGGTGTAATTTATCCGTGCGGTTTACACACACATTTCTCAAAATAGAAAAATTTCTGCAATGTCATTTTTTGCATGTATTCGTTGGGAAGATAGTAATATAGTCATAAGCACAGACGAGTCAGAAATTCAATTTTGAAAACGGGGGCATTTTCGGACCTATTCATTTGCTAATGACGCTGTTTTACATTTCAGGTAGATCGGTTGCCATCCGCCATCAGGGATTGTAAAACAGCAGAAACAATCCATCTCGGCGTGAACAATTGCCTAGATTTGTTTTAAAGTTACACTGGCGAGATTAAAAAAAATGATTTGTAAGTGTACCAGTTAAAACTCCTAGAAGTTCGTTGTATAAAGGTATTGAGAGTATGACGCACAGCCCTATGTTTTGACCTTTGAAAGAACTAGTAGTGCATATGAACGTTACATTCAAGGATATCATTCTTAACGAAACATCATAGTAAACGTAATACAGTTTTAGTCGTAAAAGTAGTTCCTATGGGAAATTGCATTTTTCTCATTCAATATAACTGACATCTTAATTAGTCATCTGTAAGGAAAGTTAGAAATTTAATGGTCTGTAGACGATTGAATAGTTTAACATGTGAATGTTGTTAATATTTTTATTTTTGCAGTGAAAAGAGCTGAACCCGGTAAGTATCTTTTTTTGTTGGGGTTTCTTTTTTATTCAGTTAATTAGTAATCATAAGAAATCCTAAAATTATTTTAAAATATGTTCATATTATTGTGATAAAAGTATATATAACTTAATTTGTACTTTATAAGTCTTGTAAAGGAGGGTACATATTCATATTACATAAACATGCTGTCGTTTTTAGTATTATATAATATGTTATATTTGCGACTGGACGTTGGTTACCAATCCATCATCATCATCATCATAGTACGTTTTCTTGCTTGTATCGCTTAAGACTGTACACAAACATTCATGTATGTAAACGAATGTTATGATTTTGCTGACCCAAGAAATGTTGTATCTTCACTATCAAGATCCCTCAAAACTGTATAGTTGATAAACAAATTGAGTATAAGAAGCAAACGATTTGTATAGTAATTAATTAGTATAATTATTGTTTCTTTATACCAAAAAAAATCCCTGTTTTGCCAAATGTGGCCAATTTAAGAAAAAATGGTTTTCAATGTTCTTTTGCTCTTCAATTTTACTGTGTTGATACGTGAGCAAAATCATTCTTGGATAGCGCCTGGCGTACAAAATGATGAGCCTCGTGTCTTTAATGGGGATTTAAAACAATGGGTCGATGTCAAAGCCGGTTGACGTTTCGTTCTCAAAGGTATTTCTTAGTGCACAAGTCAAAATCCATCTGCTGACATTAAATATCATTGTTAAACTGATCAAATTCTGTAGCGGAAAATAAGTGGGCAAGTATCATACAGTTCTAACCCCAGTTTTACTTTGTGAAGTTGAACTTTTTTGATATAAGAATTCAAACTATTATGTTTTGCAACAGTGATTAGAAGTACTTTAGTATTTTTTACGTGCTTTTCTTTTATTCTTTATAATATAGACATATTTTCGCAGTCTTAAATCCTTAGATACAAGAATAGTTGTTTGATCAGTTAAAATACCGTGTGTGTGTCCTATTTCCGATTGTGACATGTATATTGAATGAAGCTTGGCATGGCGGTTATGCATTTTAAGCATGAGACGATTACCCTGTCGACGCTCCCAGTTTTGCTCCTTTTGTAGGAATGCAGTTCCATCAATTTTTGTTTTTCAACTTGATTTGTATCTTGATGAATTTTTTGAAATTTGAATATCGATAACTACTCTTGCCTCTAATATCACGCGTGTCATCAGGAATGTTGTGAGTGATTTTCACCTTAAATGGGGTATTTCCAAGCTGCACAAAATATGTAAAAAGATAGTTAGTTTTTGTAAAATACAGTAAATCCAAAAGGTCCTTTCAAAACTGTTTATAACAGAGTTATTCATAAAAGCATTAGCCTAAAACAAACGGGTTAATTATCTGGTTTATGACATTTTCAAATCAAATTCATATATACTGTTCATATGATTTTATGTGTCATTAGGGAGTTCGAGCAAGGATTTGCCGTTCCGATGGAAAACATTTGTCTGAGTTAGGCAATATATCCTCTTGACAACGCCTAGATTTGTGGAAGCTTGTAAGAATCAAACTCAGCTTGATCGACATTAAAATACACACAAATCACACGAACATAGTAATGTTTATTAAAAATAAAGACATCAGTTTGTGCATTCTTATAGTTTGTGCATTTAGCCCGAATATTTTGTATCAATATGAGATAGAATTGGAACTTATCAACAGATTCTACGATTCGCCTGACATACATTTTCCTTTGTTAAATGCAAAGTTAAAATGTAAAAAAAATTCCCATCTCTCTCTCTCTCTCTCTCTCTCTCTCTCTCTCTGTCTCTCTCTCTCTCTCTCTCTCTCTCTCTCTCTCTCTCTCTCTCTCTCTCTCTCTCTGTCTCTCTCTCTCTCTCTCTCTCTCTCTGTTTTCTGCTGCAATCATCGTTGATGTATCTAAATATTTGAACAGTTTTTAAAATGAATAGACAATAGGTATACACCAATAAACGTCACTAGTTCGACATATTTTTTTAGTAATTTTGTCAAGGGTGCTAGCGACCGTTTGTAACCTGCAACTTGGCTGTTGATTTGCTATTATGTTTTATTTTCGAGACGCTTTAATCTACTACATATACAGAGAAGACATATTAAACAATACATTAAATAAGTAGGAAATACAAAGTGAGTTGACACGGATACCAAACAAGCCATTTGGACTGTAATTGGAACCTGTGATATGTTCATAGTTTTAGGTAAAAGGAATGAAAATACATTTTAAACTTTTTGAATTTACACGGCTTAATAAAAGTTGTTATAGTAAGTTCGTAATACTATGATTCGTCATTCTGCTTACACAGATAACACATGTTTTTTTTTTTTTCTGTCTGTAGAGAGCAAAGTTATAATAGGTAAGTTTGAGATTTATGTTGATATGCCTAATTAAAATAATTTCAGTTATACAATGTACTTAGAAGACCGAATTATCTTTGTTGAGGGACGATGGAGGTGTGTGTTTGTGTGTGTGATATCAATATACACAGAAAATGCAGAAAAAAAGCCAACAACAAAACGTAAATGATCTCCGAAAAGAATTAAATCTTGGGTAACACATCTGGATCATTCAGATTCGCATCAAAACCTGAAGTGACTTTAGGTGCTCCGGAAGGGTTTATATATTTTTTTTAAATGACCTGTAAATTAAACATTACAAGAAAGCATCTTACATCTTTATTAATCAAATAATGAATTTTGTTTAATATCAACTAAAATTTGTAACAATTATCTGGGGGTAAGTTATTTTTCCTATCGATTTGCCTCTTATGCGAGTAGGTAACGACATTCCTCCATCAAGATGTTATCAACACCAGAGCTTACCGAGCATGTAGAGAAATCGAACATTTAAATGTCAAGATTGTGAAATATTGTAACTCACTAACAAAAAGAAAGAGAAAATTTTCTCTCATATGTTTTTTCAATCATTCAAGTGTAAAATTCCTTTGTTGCAAATGAAGCTACAAATAATGTGATTTCAAAAATGATTGACGTACAAACAAAAGCAACTCATATTACTGGTCTAATTGTGCTAATCAATTTAACTTATGCGTGCATTATATTATATCTATTCATCCGGCTATGGGTTATATACAAAATTAGAATTACAGATCATTGATCTCATAATATGTAATGTTTTGCTTATTACTTTAAGTAATATATACTTTCAGGAACTTGTTCGAAATGCTTTATGGCATGTCCATCCGGCCAGGAAATCCGTGAGTGTACAGAGGAAGATTTCAAGAACAACCGTGTGATTTGTGAATGCACACCAATATCAGGTGAATATACCTGTGTGGTTTATACGCAATTTTCTCCAAAATAGATACAAAAATGTTCTATCATGTCATTTAAAGCATTTATTTGTTGGGACAATAGTCATGTAATGATTAGCACAGACGAGTATGAAATTCAATCTTGAAAACGAGGGCATATTTGGACCTTATTCATTTGTCATTTTCGCTGTTTTACATTTCAGGTACTTCGATTGTCTTCTGCAATCTGGGATTGTAAAACAGCAGAAACAATCCGTCTAGAACTTTAAAGAAATGTACAAATTTCGATGGTAGAATATAATTTATTTGTAAGAATTGTCATATAAATGGAGAAAATTATGTTTTCATATATTTTTACGATTTCTTTTTTTTTTTAATAAATATCGATTATATATTGCTTGATTCAATTATTGCCAACTTTTACATATTAGGGGATATAACTCCGATAATGTATTTTTTTCTAAATTTAATTTCTGAAATTAACTTATAAGAGCTATCTTCTTATATTTTATCTTACAATTCTATCTTTCAGTTTTCTTTATATCACACGAGATTGGGTTTTCAATGCAGAATCTCTATAACATTTGACAATTGTGCACAACCTGTAGCTTGAAAAAAGGCCCGTGACCCATACTTTTTTTAATTTTTTTGGAAAACGCATTATATAAATAACACTTCGACGAAAAAAAAAAAAAAAAAAAAAAAAAAAAAATTTCGATTTTAATTTAGACACCTCATTCCCCTTTCCATCAACCTTAAGTCAAGTTGAATTTTTACGATTTCAGTAGCGGAAAGGAGACAGCAGTGTGCTTTTTTTCGCGCGTGAACAATTGTCTAAGTTTGTTTTTAAGTTTAAACAGTTAATGTCGCATACATGGCGAATCGATTCACCAGAATTATTGAACTTATATTGAATGCATTCAAATTAAAGTTGAAAAATCACCACAAAAAATAATTCGTACACGTACCAGCATCTGAATCTAAACTAGCGATGTCTAACTGCTTACAATCGTTGATTCCTACATTCGCTTTTTTATTTTTTTTTTATCCGAAATTCATGATATATGAATTTTACAAACTGTCTAAAGTCGCACGATACTCTAAAAATAGATTCAACTAATATACAAAATTCATTGCAATCAGAAAATTATTGATTTTTGTTGAAATGTCTTACATTTTTGTAATAACAGGGAACATAAGTCACATGATTTTTCGATACGAACCTTGTCGGAAATCATTCATTAGAAGATTAAGGATGATCGCTACTGTTTCAAAATAACAATAAGACTTATAACTTGATGGTAGACATATAAATGAACTAAAAAAGCAGAAAAAAATAAGAGTCTGTGTGCATCTTTTAAAAATATAAGCCCTTGAAAATTTGGCGGGACGTGATTCTCTTTAGATTTTTCATAGATTTTACATTGGCATTTTTTCTTTCATAAACTATGAAAAAAATACAAGGATGTTATCATATTTTCAAATATAGCTTTTAAAACTATATTTAATAAAATATGAAAAAAGCAGGGGTTAGCGGGCAAAATTTGCAATGACACTTCATGGATAAATCCGAATATCTGGCAAAAATTAAAAAACAAGAGGAGCGAACATCTTTAAGGTAGAAAACATTGATGATGTATAAACTAAAACTATAATAAAATTAACGGTACTTATATTTCAGCATTTCGATCAGAGATTTACATGAGAGAGATTTATTTTTTACTTAGAAATGATTTACAAAATTGAATAACAGCAAAATTCAATCAAACAATATCCATATTTCTATGCTTGTACCGAGGGATTGGATTTTGGTAGGCTCGACAACTAACAGCCCAACACACGTACAATATACTTACTGCAAAAACATCCATGAGAACGTTTTTAGATTAACAATGATTAAGCTGGTAGACTGATTGCTTTTTCATTTTTTTTTTCAAATTTGAATATTCATTATCTCATTTTAGTAACGGAAAAAAATATATCTTGAATTGAGGATAAACGGACAAATAATAACAAAGATTGGCAACTCAATTTTATAGAATAATTGATTGATTGATTGATGTTAAACGCCACTTTCAGAACAACTGTGCTATTTTGTTGTGGTCAGTTTTTATTGGCGGAGGAAGCTGAAATGCCCGAAGAAAATCATCGACCTTCGGTGGGAAAACTGACATTCCTAGTTAATTAAGATTGGAGTCCAGTGAACCTCATTGTTGACTGGCTATTGATACAGTAGTTGGACTACTTATAGCACCCAGCCAACAAGACCCACACCAATTTTATAGAAATCTATCGAAAAAGTAAACGACTCTCTCATTATTTCTCAAACCACTTTTGATTATTGTTTTGATATTGTATTGCAGGTATTATTAAAATATATTTCCTGTGATAACTGATTCGTTATTATTATTTTTGTTTTCATTTAAAATTAATGAGCCTCGTGTTATCGGAAATATTTGCTTAGTTGCTAATATCCGGTTTCATATGTCTATGCACGTAATTCCAGTTTGTAATAATTCGATTATTAATTTTGTTTACATAGATGCATTATGTTTTAAGTTTTCTATAGAATAATGTTTTATGATTCTGTTTGTAGGAAGTAAAAGAGACGTCCTTTTGAGCGAGGTAAGCTATGACTTTTTTTTTTAGATTTCTCTACATTACGTTCATTTTAACTTAAACCATTACAACAGTACTGGATCACCTCTTTTCAAGAATGAATGGAGCCCAAAGGATAATATCCGTGCTATGACATGGTAAGCTTCACTTGCTATGGATGCATTACCCGCCATGCAAATCCACACTCAGTAAAAATATCACATCTGGAAGACGACACAATCGTTAACGTTATAGACCAAACGGCTCTTCTGGTTTATAATGATTAAGACCATGGAAACATGTCGCATGTATGTTGAGACACATGCACAGTATCAGTCAACCAATTCTAGATAGTGATCGTAAAACTTGTGTACTGTCGATTTCACTTCATAACTCTGTTGAAGTAGTTTTTGTTTAAGTAGCACACCTGGTAATGTAATATGCATGGACGTAACGTAAAAATAAAGATTCGTAAACGCCATACGATTGGCAGATGGTAAGTTACCTTTGAAAAATGGGAAGTTGACAATTAAAAGTTGAAATCATCACGTTTGTCATGTATTCTATTTTGAGGTCGTCCTGTGTAAGTTTCGCAGAGAATATAAAGATATTAATTGGACCTTCTAGTGTCGGTAGTATTTGTTGCTTTATGTTCACTGGGATATGTTATCTTTAAATGTAAACATCTTACTAATTTGGATATGACTTTGATAGCACTATTATTAAACAGGAGCAGTAAGGCCGAGTCAGATACAGTACTGCATTAAGGATGTTCTGATCGGTTTTAATTGACATGTTCGTGGTAACATCAAGTGTACATTTCGGAACTTAAATATCTGAAATGAACTATTGAATGTTTTATTATTTTTTTACAGGTATAGGTTGGACGATTCTGATATGACTGTTCGTTTTGTTTGGGACATAACCATATGTGGATTCGATTTAACCAACCAACCTACAAAATAATTTTTTCGTCAGTTTCAAATAAAACCTAGATGTTTTATGATGTCTGTCTTTTTTTTTTTAATTGAAGATGTATTCAAAGAGATTGCTTATTCAACTTTTTTATATGGCAAACTATCTATTTGTTCATTTGATTAGACAGCTATCATAACTCTTTCCTATCATACAGCTTCACACTGAAAACTGTGATTGCTTGAACTTGCCCGTTATGTCCGTCTTAAAAGTTGACAAAGAAACGTACAAATATTGTAGCCTTTGATACATGTGATTTAATTTCATAATGTGACTTCGCCAAAAGGAGACTTATTGCCAAACTTAATGAATACTTTGAACTGGCAACATATGTAGCAACAGAATTTCTAACAGTTCCCATGCCCTCATTTTGAAGTGGAATTCTTGCTGTTACGTCTATGATTGTTTGTGTTGTGTTTCATGATGACTGCGGATTATCATTCTGTTGATTTTCTTATTTCCTTGTTTGGTTTGATTCTTTTCATAGTTGTGGACATAAAAGTAAAATAACAAAAATACCGAACTCCGAGGAAAACTCAAAACGGACAGTCACTACCAAAAGCAAAACCAAAAGCCCAAACACACCAAACTAATGGATAACAACTGTCACATTCCCGACTTGGCACAGGCATTCTCCCAAGAAGAAAACGGTGGACCAAACCTGGTCCCATAGCTGGCCAAACCTTCCACCTGTATGACAGTCGCACATTATTCCACCACATTGACAACAATGTGTGAACAAAACAAACAGACACACAATAGGCAAAACAGTCAGAAAATAGGGGCACAGAAGTCAACACTATGTTACAACTTCAATCACTATAAAAACAAACAAATATGTCAGCACAGAAAAACAAAAAGGCACACAGACAAAGCAAACAAGCAAAACCGAAAGACAAGAATACAAAAATCTGCCACAGCACAATTACACAACGACATGATGTACAAGTACGTCAAAGGGATATTACAAAAAATAGACTAAATAGTAAACTAAGGTAATAATTTACAAAGACAAACAAAAGAACACTATAACACGTAATAAAGATGATAAACAACATCAGTACCCAGAATCTATACTACAACAAATTAAAATATAATTAGATTTGTATTCTTTTCGAATGTTTTGTTTTTAAGATGTATAAATACACATCCACGTTTATTTTCTTTATAGAGTTTGCTCTATGTATATATAACATGATACATATTTATCATAAGGTTAAATCCTAACTATTCTACTGCCTGTCGATACTTTTATTTTGGCATTGCACAAGTCATGTCTATGGCGTTAAAACACTAAATCCATTGGATGTGTTTTAATTGATTGTAGTCTCTGATGCATGACTTTTTATTATTAATTGTGTTTGGCTTTTACCATGAACAACAAATTTATTTATTTTGAAAAAAAATAATTCCGTATTCCTAACAACACAATTATCATATTTAAATTTACCTGTGTAAGTTATTTTTGTTTGACGCCGTTTTGTTCCCAGGTTATAGTTGTCTTTTTGACATTGTTTTAAATTCCCCTTTTTATTAATATAGTATTAATATTGTGTCATAGATCATATTTATTCGTTCAGTGTATGTTTACATATGTACGTGTTTTTGTTAATATGTCTTTTTGATCGAGTTAAGCCATTTCAATTGATATTTTATAGTGTGTCTTTCTATGTTGTAATGTTTCACTACTGTTCCAGGTTAGGGTGAAGGTTGGCGCCTGTTAACACGTTTAAATCCTCTGCATTTGTTTGCACCTGTCCTAAGTCAGGAACCTGTTGTTCGGTGGTTGTCGTTTGTTGATGTGGTTCATTAGTGTTTCTCGTTTCTCTTTTTTATATAGATTAGACCGTTTGTTTTCCTGTATGAATTGTTTTACACTAGTCATGTTTGGGCCCTTTATAAAATACCTTCAATAAAATAACATGGTAGAATCCCATGAACAAATTTAAAATGAAAATTTTGTAAAAACGAACTTTTGGTTATAATAAAAGGCATGGAGTAAATAGTATTCCAATCTTCAATCTGCATTTTTAAATCTATTTCCCATTTATTACGGGAAGATAAAGCTAACACTTCATTATTTTCCAAAAATAATTTATAGAAAAATTTACAATATTTTGGTTCCTTTTAAACTTTATAGATTGCTGTTATGTGTGAGCCAAGGCTCCGTGTTGAAGGCCGTACATTGACCTATAATTGTTTACTTTAACACATTCTGACTTGGATGGAGAGTTGTCTCATTGGCACTCATACCACATCTTATTATTTATATTCAAGACCATTGTGTATTATTTGCGAAGTTGATATGGAATATTTATCAACAAGGTCTTGGTATCTTCCGATGAACTTTTTTAGAAAAAGGACGAGACATGTTTGACATAACCCTGGTTCATTAACTTTTATCTTAGACACTGGTGACGTTTTTATAGTCTGACTAGCAGTTGCAAGCTCCTGAATACCGAATGAGTTTGGAAATGTATATCCCATATGCAGGTGAAATTCGTATCTTGCTACTAAGGTGAGGGAAATTGATAATTTTAAATTTAAAATCGATTCATTTGTATTAGATTCTGGTAATGAGATGACCGCTTATGTCGAATTCGAAGTATAAGTCTAAAAGTGAGGCACAGGAAGCCGTGCCTGTTGTTTCTTTAATTACTAGTTCTGGATGATATATTAATGGAACGCAATCAAACAAGTTTGGATTGTAAATGGAAAGAACATCAACAATATATCTGAATGTGAAATTAAATGATCTGGCTTCTTTCATCTTCTTGTTATGACAAGTGTCTGAAGGAACTATGACTCATATGAACATAAGAAGGGATCGGCAAGGAGAGGCGCACAGTTTGTTTCCATAGGAATGCCGACAGTTTGTTGAACTTTGAAATTTTGTGTAAAATTACATTCCCAAAATATTGTGTGAAAAATATTTTCTCTGATTTTTTAACAAAATGTACATAGGTTCCGTTTCAATAAAATAACATGGTAGAATCCCATGAACAAATTTAAAATGAAAATTTTGTAAAAACGAACTTTTGGTTATAATAAAAGGCATGGAGTAAATAGTATTCCAATCTTCAATCTGCATTTTTAAATCTATTTCCCATTTATTACGGGAAGATAAAGCTAACACTTTATTATCTTCCAAAAATAATTTATAGAAAAATTTACAATATTTTGGTTCCTTTTAAACTTTATCTACCAATTTATTTCCAATGTTATGAAATTTAAAACTTCCTTTTATTATACTTTTCCGTCTATTTGGAATTGCACTTATAATACCATAAAACTCTAAAAAATTAGTATTGATACTTTTTTTTAAATTCTCCGTATGAAAATAGTGTATTATTATCTGACACCAGTTCATTAACAAAAGAATACACAATTTTCAATATATTTGAACTTCAAAATCATCTTGCCACCAAGTCATGTTTGGGTTCAGCCATATGGACTGGGCCAGAATATCAGTATTGTTTTGACCTTTAATTATATTTTGTAACTTTGAAACATTTACCAGGATATCATGCCAAAAAGGGATGACATTTTTGAATAAAGCAATCCATAATTAGTGTAAAATTTTGTCACCCCCTCAATTTGTGTGTATAACTAAGCAGCAAAACTTTCCAAGGGGAGTAATTGTGTGGATCTAATAATTTATACAGTCACGACATTTTTACACTATAGCAAAAATAGTAAATATTAGGCATCTTAAGACCGCCATCACAGTGTTTGGACATTACCACTGCTCTCTTCACTTTATCTGTTTTTCCTTACCATTAAAATTGAAAAATATATTCTGAATCTCTTTCAGAACCCCTTCGGTGGGGTTAAGAAGGACAGTCAGAACTTGAACCAATATTGGAAGTGCTAAAGTTTTAATAACTACAACCCTTCCAAAATATGTTAGTTCTATGTAAGTCCAAGTATTGAGCAATGACTTGATACTGTTAATCTTGGCTGTAAAATTACATAGAGTAATATCCACTTTAGGAAGCTCAAACCATATACCTAAGAGTTTGAACCTCCCAGAAAGGATCGCAACAAGATTTTAGTCTGTCAACAGTTTTTCTACACTACCCTTTTTTGACCCAATCCATATAGCTTCAGTTTTGTCAACATTACACCAAAGTCCAGCACATTTTGAAAATTTATCAAACAAATGTAAACATTGATTAAGAGACTTTTGGTCACCATCCAGGACTAGGGAATAATCGTTAGCAGATTGACTCAACAAAAATACTGTATATACTTAGTATACAGAATAGGACTTCACATCTACATCGCTTGACTTTAGTTCTCGAGCGCTGTACATGAAATCAACAGTGTTGGAACTAAGATATACGGTGGTGAAATTAAGATCTTCAGCGCTGGACTTTAGATCTCTAGCGCTGAACTTTATATCCACGGATGGACTTTAGAAATACAGTGCCGGTTTATTTTGAATTGTATTTTTCTTCTGTTCTGAATTTGTGATTTATTTGACTAGCATGTACCCGTCGTCAATGCAGTTTGTACATTTGACATGACGCATAAGACTATTCTTATTATCATAAGCACAAACTTTAAATAGTGCAAACAAAGAAATCAATCAGACCCTTTTATGATGTGGAATTTAATGGAAAACATTTACATCTGGGAGATCTTTATTCCATCAGTTGAAAAGATCATTTGGTGTAGATATATGCAATATATAATATATATTTTATTTTTTGTTTTTGCACAGCAATATCACTTGTAGATGAATGTCAGCATTAAACTGTCGTTTAGACTTTAACTTTCATCTGACAATTATGAAACTAATCGCGATCAGTCTTCTAAATAGATACAGTTATTTGTTTTCAAATATCCTCTTATAATGTATATTTAGTACTGCTCTGACACTTTGCTTGCAGTCAATTAAGTACTGGTCAGTACCTTTATAGACATTCCAGTATGTTGTTGTTTCGCACAGATAAATACAGCTATTGAACAATCTAAACAAAGATTGAACAGATCTTAATTTAATTCGAACGAATTGTCTGCC